ATCTCCCTTTTTTTTTGTTTTCCCATCACCTGCTTCCCAAGGAAGAGGAACTGGGGCCGAATCCCGAGTTTTTCCCATTGGAAAGCAGACGGTTTTTGCTGGAGAATTAGGACTTCCAGCAGATTTTTTTTCCTCCCCACCTTCCCTGATGGAAATCAACATTTATTCTGCCTGAGCCTAAGCAGGTGTCAGGCAGACGGAGGGGACTTGCCAGTCTTCTCCTGGAGAAAGGAGGGAGAAGGGAGGGAATGTGATGGGGATGTATCATCCGGCGTCACGGGTGGAAGGGGGGAGGCTGTAAATCACCCTTCAGGTGGCCCCATTAGATTCTGCACTAAAACCTGCTTTTTGGAGGCTCCAGCTGCATCCCACAGGGAAAGGGGAAAACCAAGAGGGATTTGAAGGGATTTCAAGGCAGGGAAAGGGGAAAACCAAGAGGGATTTGAAGGGATGTCGAGGCAGGGAATCTCCTGTGGGGTGAAGGGAACAAGGGGGTGGGTCCATGTTGGGCCCCAAATCTTCTCCCTGAGGGCTTCTTAAAAAGGTGAGTTTCTCCCTGGGGGTGGGAAAGTGAGAAGCAGCTGGAAAGACCCCAAATCGTGGGTGGAAGATGCCCAAGCCCCAAAGGAATGGGACACAGATTTCCCGGCTCCACCATCCCATTACAAAAAGCTCTGGAATTCTGGTTGGTTTCCCTTCCTGATGGGATGTTTGGTCTCCACTGCTGTCCCAGTGTCACCCAGGGTTTTCCACCCTCTCCTGCATCTTCCTCCAGGAAGAGGCTTCACCTAGGGATGCATCCCAGATTTCCCAGCTTTAAGGCCAAGAGGAGAAATTCCCCAGAAACACACGGAGACAACCTGCTGCTGCTCCACCCGGATCCTTCTGCCCCCCAAGGGAGTTGGGACACCCTTTCCCACGTCTTTTCTCCTTAATTCCTTCTTTTAGGAGGGGAAAAAGCAGCCAGACAACCAGCCATGAGCTGCAGTGGTGGGATTGGGGATGGGATCCAGGTTGGGATCATGGACTGACATCTTTTCCCGGTGGGCTGAAGATTATCCTGGAGAAGATGGAATTTTACCACCTTGGAGGGCTCTTCCATCTCCAGCTTTTAGGTCATCAAATAACTCAGGAGAAAGGAGGAGAAAAGCCCCACTTCCAAAGTGATTCCTCCAGAAGCCAAACCCGTAAGGAGTTGGACTTGGATGAACCTCGTGTGTCCCAAACTCAGGATATTCCTGATTCCAGGAGCAGGAGATGGTTGAACCAAGACCCACCACAAATGGGAGGATCAGGTTCCAAAGTGATTCCTCCAGAAGCCAAAGCCATGAGGAACTGGACTTGGAGGATCCTTGTGCATCCCTAACTCAGGATATTCCATGACTCCAGAAGCCAAGGATGGTGGGACCAAGATCCACCACAAATGTTGGGGGGGGGAATCAGGAGAAAGGAGAAGCAAATCCGCATTTCCAAAGTGATTTCTCCAGAAGCCAAACCCGTAAGGAGTTGGACTTGGATAAACCTTGTGTGTCCCAAACTCAGGATATTCCTGATTCCAGGAGACAGGGATGGTTGGATCATGACCCACCACAAACAGTGGAGTCAGGAAAAAGGAAGAGCAAATGCCCACTTCCAAAGTGATTCTTCCAGAAGCCAAAGCCGTGACAAGGTGGACTTGGATGATCCTTGTGCATCCCTAACCAGGATATTCCCAACTCCAGGAGTCGGGGATGGTGGGACCACAACCCACCACCACCGTATCCCCCTCACAGACATCTGGACAAACAGAGTTAAAAAAAAAAAAACACTTCCCAAAGCGCTTTTTTCCCCCCTCCTGGAAGCCAAAACCCGCAAACAACCCCTCACCTCTCCGAATTCCCGGGGAATTCTCCCGCTCGGCGGAGCCGTTAAAAAAAAAAGACTTGGAGCAGCATCTTCCATCAACGCCCCGGCCGTGAATTACGACCCTAAAACCGCGGCCCGTATGGCGGCAAATTTGCACCCGCCGAGCTGAGGGGGGGGAGAAGCTGTAAAATGTTTACAGAAAGGGTCGTTTGGAGGCCGTAAAATCCCCTTTTCTCTCCTAAACAAGGCTGAGCAGAGCCATTTACGCCGCCCGGAATGTTCATCGGGGGAGATGGGGGGAAACATCTGCTCTCGCCAGGAGTTGGCGGGCGATGTTCTCGAACAAATTAACTAAAATGGGGAAGGGGGGGGAGGGGGGGGAGGGCTTCCTAATTAAATTAGCGCTGGGTTGGAATGGGCTGGCGTCGGATTGAGGGGCCGGCGCAGGCGATTTAACTGGCGGGTGAAATATGGAAAAGGTAAAAAATCCTGGGAACGGCTGCGGGAGGGGAAGGGGAGAGAGTCCTCCCCACCCTCCCTCCTGTTCTCCCGGTTGGATGACACGAGGTGGAAGGATGGGATGCTTCCCAGTGTTTTGTTTTTTTTTGGGGGGGGGAGGATATGCTTGTAAAGCCCCCAAAGCCCTCAAATCATTTCGGCTGGAAAAGACCCCCCCTCGAGATCATCACGTCCAACCTCTGCCCGGTCGCCTTGTCCATCCCAAATTCCCAGGCTCCTCTCGTGGGGTTGGAGGCTGACAGCGGGTTCTGCTCCGTAGATTCCCATCCCCTTTCCCTGTATCCCAAGCCCAGACCCCCACTGAGACCGCCCCCGTCTCCCAAGCTGCTGCTGCTGCCCACGCTGGTCCTTAAAGGTCACTCCGAGCCCCCTCCCCGTCCCCGGCGTTTCATTTTCTTCCAGGATTAAAAGGGCACTTTCCTCGAATTCTGAAGGTTTAACCAGGGAATTCAGCTCATTCCATAACAACAACCTGGCCTCCTCCTTATTTACCATCCCAACAGTCCGTGTGTCAACCCCAGGCTTCACAAACCCAACGCCATCCCCCCTTCCCGAGGCGCAGATCCCCAAAATCCCGACGCCGCTCATGCAAGGACTCATCCTGACCATCACCACAGCTCCAGGCTCAGAATCCCGGAATCCTGGGATATTCTGAGTTGGAAGGGACCCACCAGGGTCACCGAGTCCAGGTGGAGTGGCCACCATGAAGCGTTCGGTCCTTCAGCAGCTCCAGTGGCCTCATCCCACCTCATTTTGGGATGATGCCTCGTTAGTGGATGGGATTCCTCTGCTCCCATTGGGTTTTGGGAGCCCCTGGATTCTCCTGTGCCCCAAAACCCTTTGGATGACTGTTGGGATGACACCCAAGTATGGGCAAACCCATGGGACAACATTCCCATGCCCAGCATTCCTTTGGCAGGGAAGTTGCTTCCTCATCAGATGGATTCGCAGCCATCTGTGATTCCTGCCCGGTTTTCCTTTCCCATGGATCCTCCAGCATCTGTTTTCCCGATGCCATGCGATGCCCTGGGCAAGGGAGCACGGAGGGAAGGCGTGGCCTGACCTCAGCTCCAGAGAGTTCCTCCCAGCATTCCCAAATAACCAGCTCCTCCTCCTCCTCCTCGCCACACCCAAAAAACCTGGAAATCATCCTTCCCTGCACGGACACGCTGGATAAAAAGGACACCCCTCCCTGCCAAGTTATTCCAGGCTGCCAAGGGTAATGCAGGGCCTTCCCTGGCCATTCCAAGTTTCAACAGCCATGAGTTAATCTTATCCATGGATTAATTGCTCTGAATTCATCACGGAGATAAAAACACTCCCACTCCGGGAACAATTCCCCGGCCGGGATCAAAAGGGAGTTGAACCAAGGCCAAGGAGAGGGAAGGAGGGGGGGTGGAAATCCCTGGAAAGGGAAGCCAAGAGCAGCTTTCCCAGCCGGAATTGTCCCTTGCCGTTCCCACCAGGCTGCAGCCCGCGGTGCGCTCCTGTGACTTCGGGAATATGTTGTTAATCCCGGGAATTCTCTTTCCGACAGCGTTAAGGCATCTCAGCCCTCTCCGGCTCGAAGTGATTGAAGATCCTTGGTGCCCACTCCAGCCTGGATTTTGGTGCTGGATTCATCCCTTCTCCCGGCGGGATCCCGCTCCGGGAAGCAGGGATTGAGGATGGGAAGGAATCCTGCTGAACCACATCCTGTGCCAGCTGAGCTGGGGCTGGGAATTCCATCATTCCTGCCACAAAATTACTGTGATTTGTGAGCCCGTTGTGTGCCAGTGCTCGGGAGATCCAGAAACAGCCCATAGTGCCATTCCCTATCGGATTTCCTAGTGGAAGAGCCGAATTAGGAACCGAGAAAAATGCTGGAGAAGCAGAAAAGCAGCAAAACTCCACCAGGAGCCGCTCTGGAGAGAAACAAAGACGTTTCTTCTCACGGCTCCAAGAGTTTTCCCACTTTTTCCCTTCCCCCACTTTCAAACTGAAACCTTTCCCTGAACTTTTCCCAAGATGAAAAGGCAGGTGTGAGAATTCCCAGGAAGTCCTGCTCATCCCAAAACCGCCTTTCCCAAAAATTTGTACCCATTTCCAAAGCAGATAAATCCCAGATTAAAGCAGCTCTTCCCTCAAACTCGCAGCCTGCCGACACCCCATCCCATTTCCCCACTGGGATGTTTTGATTTCCAAGCTATTTCCCACCAGGAAACAGGTGGGATGGATGCTCCAAAGGTCCTTCTGTTGATCCCACTGAAACACCTTCCAGCCAGGTACTGCTCTGCTTCCACCATTGGAATGAGATTGGATTCATCACCGGATAATTTATAGGAAAAGGAAGGAGCTGATGATAAAATATGGGATAAAATCCTCCCAATGTGGTTTCGGGAGCAAACACAAGGATTTGGACCCAGATGGGAGACCCGGTTTGGGCTCCCAGTGTGAACTGGCTTGGAGACTCCCAGGGAACATCAATCCCAAAAAAAATTCCCTGGAGAGCAGCAGGGAACAACCCTCCTTGCTCAGACAACCCGAGCAGCTCGGAGCGCACGGCAGGAAAAAGCTGAGGACGTGATTCCTACCTGGCTTCTCCTCTGGCTCATCCTCATCCTTCTCCACTTTGCAGCCCTGGAATCCGGGATACTCCGGGGATCGGAGGGAGATGAAGGACGGGAGCTTCTGCAGGCAGCTCGTCGCCTTGGTGTCCTCCTCCTTCCGCAAATTCCCCTCCTGCTCCGCGCCGGAAGGGCCGGGAATTTCCCCATCATCGTGGAGCTGAGCTGGATCCTTCCTGCAGGAGGCAGATGGGACAAATGTTATGGAAAAAATAAACCAATCCCATTTTTTGCAAGGCTGGGAATGGCACCACGTGCAGCGGAAGAGGCCCAGGGGCTCCCGGGGCTCCATCCCAGGCCGCTCCACATCCCTGGAGCCAACAGGGATTCAACCAGAGTTCCTCCCTCCCCAGCTGGACTCCCTGCCCTGCCCTTCCCTGCCAGTTTTCCAGCTCCTCAGATTCTCCCAGAGGCTCCTGTTTGGGAAGGGGAGCAGGGATGGCTGGGAGATGTCCCGCTGGGCTTGGCTCCTTCCCAACCCCACCTCTCCCCTCCAGGCAAACATGACACTCCAGCTCCGTTCCCATCTCCCACCTCGGTGCCAAAAAAGGGCAAAAAAAACACCCCCCCCCCCCCTCACCTCCTCTGGAGCAGCTTCCAAGCCGGGGTGTGCTCCCATCCCTGTGGGAAGACGCCAGGAGCCTCCCAGCCACCCAGCCCCGCGCTCATCCCTCCTTCCCTAAAAAGAGCAGGGAGCTATTTTACACCTCGTTCACACCGGGAACGTGAGCTGGGTGTCATTCCAAGGCTCTTCTGTCACCCGGGATAAGTTGGGAGAGAACCTGCTGAGCGCTCGTCCCCCCTCTGCTACCTTACAAGGCAGGGCCAGGCCCGGGAAGGAGCCTGGACCAGGCTGGCACAGCTCCCAGATCCCTGTGTTTCCATCCCACCTTCGCTCCCACCTCCCGCTGGGAAGAGGTCGAGCACCCGATTCCCAAGTTTTTCCCCCCCCCCTACTCGAGCAGGACTTTTAGACTCCGGCTTTTAAAGCCAAATCCCCTCTTGGGCTTTTCAACTGAATTCCGTTAGGATGCAGGAACTGTTTGAATTCCACGGGAATGTCCTGCAGGAAGGGCTCAGGGGTGAGGGAGAGGAAGGCGAGGATGTGCCAAACCCAAGGAAATCCATCTCCTGGTGAGGACGAGGATCGGCGTGTCCATCCTCTGCCTGGGGGTCCATCCCAGCACCCCAAAAACACCAGGAAGAGCTCAGAGAGCTTCCAAGGATCCAGCCCAGCATCCAACTGCTTTCCAAAGCCTCTGGCACCTCCACGCCCCACCCTGGCGGTGCATCCAGCCCCTCCACGCCATGCCAAGGGATCCCCACATGGATATAGGGAAGAGGGACGGTGGTTTCCTGTTTTCCCCGGAGCTACGGATAAGCTGGACCCACTTCCAGCAGCGGAACCTCCATCAGGACTCCTCCACCTCCCAGCAGGAAGGTCCACAAAAGCCTGGGAGACACCTGGAGGTGCCGGAGCCTTCGATGGCACATTTCCAAGGGTGAATCCTCTCTTCCCTCTCCATCACCTCCCTCAAACATGGGCACTGCCCAACCCAGCAGTGGCTCCATCAGGAGGCACCACGCACCTTCAAATAAACCAGGACACGAGACCCTGGAGGAGGAAATATCCCGGGAGCAGGGCGGGAAGGAAACCGTTTAATCCAGCAAAAAAAAAAAAAAAACGAGTTTGTCCCGCTTTTTTTCCTACCTCTCCGGTTTCTCCTTGGCCCATCTCCACTTGGCAGGGGGGTTGGGGTGGTCTCCATCGCCTGCCACCTCCTGAGGGTGACGCCTCTTGTGGGGGTGCAGGAGTTTGCAGCGGACACCTTTGGGACAGACGCCCTTCTTGGCAAAGTCGGGACAAACCAGCGTGTGCTTCTTCTTGCACTGCCAGGGAAGGAGAGAGCCGGGGTTGGAAAAAGCCGGAAAAGCCCCGTGGGAGCACGGGAAGGGCTCCTTCAGGTGCCACCGAAGCCTCGCTGAAGGGAGAGGAGGATATGTTGGTGATCCCTTCTCCCTGTCAAAACCCCGTTCCACGACAAAACACTCCTAAAAGATAACGATGCTCCAGGCTCACCCATGGCTTTCCAAGAGATTTCATGGATCCAAACCACCAAAGCCCTCCTGGTGGCAGTGATTCACCCCCAAAGTGGGGATGCTGAGAGGTCTCAAAGAGGTTTAATTGGGCTGGAGAAGCTGGTTTTGGAGAGGACACGAGTTGTCCCAGACATTCCTGGGAGTTGGGGAGGAGCAGGGAAGAGCAGGAACAAAGTCCTTTGGGGACTTATTTTGGGATCGCTGCCTGGCCCTGAGGAAGGGGGTTGATTGAAGGCTGGAGCTCAACCTGCTCTGGAAATGAGCTTGGTTGATGCTCTCCCATCCCAGGAAGCTTAGTGTGGCCATGGAATGGGGAGGGAAAAACGACGGCATCCAGGTGCTCATCCCTAAAAGTGCTTCTGGCGCTTCCAGACCCGCTGGTGGGAGGGAAGAGTCATCAGCGCTCCAGAGCTTCCCCACAAGGCTTCCTGCTGGAAAAGGGCACTTTTGGGCAGTGGGAAAGGCAGGGAAGAAGACACGGGCAGGGAAGAGGAGATGCCTTCAGGCGGGATTTCCCTCGGGGTGACCGGGAATGTCGGTGGGGGGGAAGGAGAAGGAACGACCTCTCTCTGATCTCCGACTATTCCCAACACCCATCACTCCAGAGAGCTCATCCCAGCGAATCCCAAGGGATGCCAAGGGTGGGAGCAGGTCCTGGAGCCCTGTTAGTCTCACTCCCAGCCAGGATGCTCCATCCCACCCAGCATGGCTTTTGCAGGAAGCACCGGATCGGGACATCCACGGTTGAGACTCAATCCCAACCAAGGATTCCCAATGCCAACATTCCCTCGGTGACCCTCCCCACAGGAAAAGCGTGGGGTTTTCCAACCACACGGGCCCTTCCAAACCTGGATGCCCACCCAGCAATTTTACTGGCTCCAATTTTGCCCAGATTTTGGAGAAAAACGGATGACTTGGTGGGAAAGGAAACACAGGGAGGGGTTTGGGATCATCCTCGCCCAGTTTAGGAAAACTGTGGGGGAGCTCCTGCCCTTTTCATGGCACGTGACTCCGGGGACACGGGAGCAGCTCCCCCGTGCTGACCTTTGGGATGAACGGGATCCCTGCTGAGCCCTGGGAGAGCTCTCCTGGGAAAGGCAGAAGGGTTTGGCAGCTCTGCCTGCCGGGGATCCGGCACCGGAGCGAGGAGCTCGCCTGCCGGAGGTTGGGACGGTGCTGAGCAGCGGGAGGGCTGGGATGCAGATGGACACATGGATATAGCGGCTCCATGGGGGTAGAGGGAGGGGGGATGGGGCTGCTTTTCCACTAAAAATTCATATACCCCCCCCCACCACCCATTCCTGTGACTTTCCAGCTCTGTCGGAAGCCAAGGGACAAGTTGAGAGTTGAGTTGTGGCTCTGCTGTTGCTTCAGAATCCTGTGTTTTGGAGAAATGTGGAATCGTGGAATGGACTGGGTGGGAAGGGACCTGAAGGATCACCCATTTCAACCCCCTGCCATGGACAGGGACACCTTCCCACTATCCCAGTTTGCTCCAACCTGGCCTGGGACACTCCCAGGGATCCAGGGGCAGCCACAGCTCCCTTGGGAATTCCAGCCCAGTCCCTCCCACCCTCCCAGCCAAGAACTCCTTCCCAATATCCCATCTAGCCCTCTGGCAGTGGAAAGGCATTCCCTATGTCCTGTCCCTCCATCCCTTGTCCCCAGTCCCTCTCCAGCTCTCCTGGAGCCCCTTTAGGTTCTGGAAGGGGCTCTCAGATCTCCCTGGATCCTTCCCTTCTCCAGGTGAACATTCCCAGCTCTCCCAGCCTGGCTCCAGAGGCTCCTGTCTCCATTTTCCTCATTTTCCCACCTCACCTGCAGACAGGGCACACCCTGGACCAAAGACAAACACTTGGAAAAGGCCGTGACAGGTCAGGAATTCAAACTAAAGGAATTTCTCCCAAAATATTAATGAGAAGAAAAGCAAATCTCTCCCCCTGAAAACTACCCTCAGAAAAAGGGAAACAAAATTAGGGAAGAGGAAAAATAAAGGCATAAGATTGAGGGGATGATCAACACCCTTGTGCCAGGTCCTGGTCCAACCATCCCAGTTCCTGGAATCACAGAATATCCTCAGCTGGAAAGGATCCCCCAAGGATCATCGACTCCAAATCCCGGCTCTGCACAGGACGACCCCACAAATCCCTCAGAAGTGAGATCTGCAGAGAGGTTTCCAGCCCGAAACGGGCTTGGAAAGGGAGAAGAGCAGGGAAAAAAAAAGGAGCCTTGGCCTCCCAAAACCCCATAGGGATGCTCCGCTGAGGGATAATGGGGTTTGGGGGGAAAGTCAAGAAATGGGGCCGTTTCTTTCCCCGAGGGACCGCCTTACAAATCCCTGTGGGATCGGGATGTGCCACCTCCCCGCTTGCTCCGACCTCTGGGTCAATCCCATGTTTTTTGGCTGCACGGCAAGAAGATGCTTCACAAAGAAAACAAACCGTGGGCGATTAATCCCGAGGCCGCGGCCCCGGCTCGGGTTTCCAAGCGGCTTTTCCAGGCCGTTCCCGGCCCTCCTTCCGGAACGCCCCGTCCCCATCCCGCCGTTTCAGGGCTGGCACGGCAAGGTTTGGGATTGGAAAAGCCCCTTCTGTTAATTTACAGCGGCCTCCCCGTGCTCCGGGTCCCGCATTCCCGAGCCAAAGCCGAAGGGAATTTTTGCTTCCCGCCGGGACGAGGCCGAGCCGGGGCTGTGGGGTTGGTGCTGGGGGTCATCTGATCCCTTCCACCACCTGTCAGGGTGGATAATTATACCACCCCCCACCCCACGCACACACACCACCCCCCCCCCGGGACCCCCGCCAGCCCACAGGTTTGGGCATAAAAAGGGGAGAGGGGGAAAAAATAAAAATTCCAAAGGGAAACCCATAGAACCCCAGGGGTGAAACCTCCCCCCACCTCCCGGCTCCGGGATGGAGGTGCCACTGATGATGATCTCGCTGTTGGGTTTCCCCCAGGGGTTGGGATGGTGCCCTGTTGGCAGTTCCCATGTCCAGGACTCCTTCCCTGCTTGCCAAGGAAGCTCCAGGTGCCGTTGGCCTTAAATGGTCCAGCGGGTCCTGACGCGCCCCGGAGAGCGGGATCGGGATGAGGGATGGGGTTGGCAGGGCCCAGCCTTCTTTAGCAGGGAGCTGGCAAAGGAGCAGGAGGAGGAGGAGGAGGCTTGGGAATGATGTCAATGAAGTTTTTCCATGGACAAGCCTGGCAAGAGGAGGAGGAGGAGGTGGAGGGAAAAGCCACGCCGGGTTTACTGGGCCAACCAGCAACCACCCACCGACCCAGCAGGGTGGGAAGGAGGGATCCCATCCAGCTCGGCATTCCCAAGCACTTTGCCCAGGGTGAACTTCCCAGGTGTCTCCAGGCTTATCCCACCCACCCCCCCACACACACTCCTTTCCCAGCAGAGGGACAAGAGTCGGGCTTTGATGGTCCCTGGGAGGTCCCTCCCAAACTGGAATATTCTGGGATTCCAGGAGGAGATGGCAAAGGGCTGGAGCATCTTCCCATCTCCTCCTCGGCCCTGTGTCCAAGTCCCTCCACCCACCCTGGCATACACAAATCTCACCAGCCAGACCTTTTGGGAGAAGGGGAGCACCAAAACCACGAGTGTTTCTCCCCAAAACTCAAACGCCTCAACTCCGGTTATTTCCTGTTTTCTAAAACCCCGCTCTTGAGCCCCCCATGGAGCTTCCCCGGAGCTTTTCCAGGTCCCCCCACGGTGGAGCAGCAGGATTAAGCACCTGGATGGCCTGTCAGGTTGTTTTAACGTCCCCCCTGAGCGGCTGTTGGAGGTGCCGGAGCGTTTTCCTGACGCCGCTCCCGAGTGACAGCCGGGAAATGGCTTTGCAATAATTGGGTGCAGATGGAAACGGCCTCGGGAAAGGTAAAAGAATCCCAGCTCCCACCCTGCCATTAAAACCTGGAGGGCAACACATCCCCAGCACCGTCCAGGCTGCGGAACAATCAGGGAGGAATTTAACCCGTGGCGATTATCCTTAGGGATTTGCTCCCCAAAAAAAAGGTTTCTGCCCTCCAAACAGAGTTTGGAAATGGCCTGATTGGTGATGGTCTCCTCCAAACCCTCTCTAGGATCTACCAAGAAGCCAGGAAGCTCCTCCCTGGGAATTTGTAGGGAATAAAACAGCATTTGAGCTGAAGTTCCTCCGGAGCTGGAGCGAGAATGGGATGGTGTTTGGAAAATCATTGGGAAAATCCTATTGATGAGGCAGAAAAGTAGCTGGGAGAGGGTTCCTGCCCATGGCAGGGGTTTGGAATGCCAGGGTCTTTAAGGTCCCCTGCAATCCAAGCCATTCCACGATTCTAAGGATCAATGGCACTGCTCAGAGGGGGCACCAAATCCCACCACGTCACTAACGAAGATATTAATTAGTCCTGGCCCCAGTAGGGGCCCATTTGTTACTGGTTCCCACTTGGACACCGAAACACTGGCTGTAGCTCTGTGGGTGTGGCCACCCAGGTGAATCCCCCGTGGAATTGAACCATTCCCTGACCTGCTTGGTTGAGGAATTCCATTTCCCTCAGGAAACAATCCCATCCATCCCATCCCATCCATCCCATCCCAGAGCTCCACATGGGGAAGCCACCGACGGTCCTGCCCCTCTCCCGAGCCCTGGGGAGCCACATCTGCAGTGCTGTGTCCTGCTCTGGGCTCCTCAGCACAGCAGGGACACGGAGCTCCTGGAGGACGGAGCTTTTCCCGGGAAGACGCCGAAGGGATGGAGCATCTCCAGGAGCAGGAGAGGCTGAGGGAGCTGGGGCTGTTCAGCCTC